TGACACCAAGTTCCCTAGTTATGCTGGGGGTTGTGATGCCAGGGTGACGGTGTTAGTGGTGGTTGTTAGACTCGGAGTTTAGCTGGGGTTGATGACATGCATAACCAGCATAAACACCTAATATCTTTCTATTCGTCTTACAAATATCACGAACTCATGTTGATTCAGACGAAAAGTTCAAATTCTCTTTGGCCCCAAAGCAAAACCTCGATTCTTAACTCTCATGTTGGACATAGTATACTGTTATGCCGCTTACACCAGAAACCAACACCAAATTCTGAGATGAGACAACTCAAGCTACCTACTTAGCAACACAGGCAATCTCTATGTGAAGATCTGAGGTTTTAGAGGCAGCCAGATCGCTCAAGCAAAGTAAATGTTATTCTCATCCAATAATTCCCATCCAATAATTCCTTGTCCATTCTTTAAATAAATATGAATTCGCAATCTGATGCATTTCACGAGCACAAGCGCTTAGGTAAGCCACATACGACTTGGAAGATCTCGGGAGTTGCGGAGCTTGATCGACTAAACCGCTTACAGTGTGCTCAACCATTGGATGCTTTTTCTCACTGAATGCTGTATATCACCCCCAAGATTGTGTTTGCCCGCTGACGGTCAGTCGTGAAGGGGTGGTGTTCTTACATTCATGAGTCTTATATGAAGGCCTGCTGTTCTCTCAATTTGCTTATCCTACATCAGTCCCCTCCTCCTAGCTTTCTTGCTACAAATCGCTCAACCCTGTTTACCCTTGCTCATCGTACAAGTGAGCCTTGGACAGGGATTGTATAGGAGTCATTGGGGTCTTATATGAATATCTCCAGGTACTTATCCGGTGTGAGAAAAATGGCCAAGACGGTTTGTATTGTTGGTGAGTCACGTCTTATTATCTCTAACACCTTCGCTGAGTATCGTAGGCGCTGGTCCTTCGGGACTTGTCGCAGCCAAAACGCTGCTACACAACACTGCCCCTGGCGAATTCAAAGTCACCATATTTGATGCCCAGAAGGATATTGGAGGACTGTGGCCTACGTCAAAGACGGACAATGGTAGACAGGTCCACCCATTTATGTGGGCGAACCAGAGCAGGCATACAATGCAGTTTAGTGAACTTGCATGGGAAGACAGTGACCCTCAACTCCCACAGGGGTGGATGGTTGGAAAGTATCTTCACAGATATCTCGAGCGGTTCCTTAAGAGCAACAAGGATTTTGAACTCAAGCTTGGTACACGAGTTGAGAGTGCAGAGCGGCCAGAGGGATCATCCAATGGTTGGGTTGTCAACATCAAGTCAGGTGCTGGAACTGAATCAAAGAAGTTTGACTATCTTCTTGTTGCCTCTGGTTTCTTTGGGAAGCCTATTATACCTGAGAGTCTTGAGAAGCAGACAGCTATCCCTGTTGTCCACAGCAGCCATTACAGAGATGTGAAGAGCCTTCTGGGCGAAGGCAGACCTGGTGGTGGGAAGATCCTCGTAGTTGGTGGACAGATGTCTGGGGTCGAGATCGCTGGAACCATTGGCGCTCATCTTTCTTCCGAGGCCAACTCACCCGATCCATCGAGAATTACCGATATCGACAAGTACAGCATTCATCATGTCATCCAACGCCCGATATGGGTATTCCCTCTCTATACCAGCCCCAAGCCTGCAGAAGTCGCGGCGCCATTTCTCCCTCTCGACTTTTCTTCGTACAACCTCAACAACCGCCCTCGACCCCTGACCAACACACAAGGACACATCCCCGAAGCAACAGCAAAGGTGGTCCACAGCGTCTACAAAGGCGTTCTTGGCTCTGATCAATCGGAATATTCCCCACTGCTCAAAATCGATGGCACAAATGATGATAAGCAGCCATATTTGGCTGTCAGCGAATGGTACACTGATTTTGTTCGATCTGGAATGATTTCTTTATCGAAAGGCAAAGTCGAAAGCCTCGAAGGATCTACGGCAACACTATCCGACGGCACAAAGATTGAGGACATTGCAGCAGTGGTGGTTGCGACAGGTTTTGATGCTTCACCTTGCATAAACTACCTTCCTGGAGACGTCTTGAAAGCGCTTCATTTCTCACCAAAACACATTGATCAGCCTGTCGCCCTGGCTTTCCATGGAACTTACCACCCTGAAGTTCCGGATCTAGGCTTTGTGGGATTTTATAGATCTCCTTACTGGGGTGTGATGCAGATGCAGGCTCGGTTTGTGGCTGCGCTGTGGTCTGACAATGTATTCCCTGGTCGTGAATCTGAGAGCTTCAAGACCAAGCTTCGCGATGACATCTCGATTCAGCGAACACTCGAATTGCGAGATGATCCCCGAGTATCGCAGTTCCCAATGGGCGACTACCCTTATCTGGTGAATGAAATTGCAGAGGCACTTGAGTTGAAGATTCGCGAGCCCCTTGAGCCTCCAGTTCCCAGCTTACCGCATAACAATCTGCCGTTGGACATGCTCACACCAGCGAGGTACTCAAACACTACGGACGACCAGGATTCAAAGGATGCTGCGACGAAGTCACTTGAGCAGACGCACAAAGATGCAACTGATGGTCTGACGACGTCGAGATTCGTGGCCCACGCTGTTTTTCGAAGTCTTCTCGGTACATGGAAACTCGAGCGAGATCTTGTCAGCAAACTGCCCTCACATCCGAGCGGACACTTTAGTGGGACCGCGCAGTTCCTCCTCCGCGAGAAGACGAACGATGGGTTGCGATGTGCGGGCAACCCTAGCGAGGACTCCCCTAGCGATGATGAGCTGGGCATGGAGTATCTCTATATCGAAGAGGGAGAGTTCAAGACCGAACAAGGGTTCGGCTTCAAGGCCACACGTCGTTACGTCTGGAGATATGATGAGCTCAAGGATGTGCTGAGCGTGTGGTTCGCTAAACCAGAAGATTTAAAGCGTGCAGACTATCTTTTCCACGAGATCGAGTTCACAGAACCTACGCGTAAGGGATGGAAAGCCAAGGCAGGACATTTGTGTATTGACGACTACTACGATGTCAAGTACAACTTTGCCTTCCAAGCCGTCAACCTGAAGGAGTGGGGCATCGAGTACACGGTAAAGGGGCCGAAGAAGGATTATACCATCAGTGGCACCTACAAGCGTTAGAGAAAAGACCAAAGAAAGAATGAGGAATCCAAAATACTCAGTTCCCCAATGGCATGGTATTGGTTGTTGTGAGATCTCCGCGGACAGGCAAGACAGGGATACGGACCGGGCCGATGTCTTGATGGATTGCTCCACACGCCGTGACAAGATGCATGATACATACATACATAGCATTTAACCTTAGATGTGATCTACTCGGGTAATGTGAGATGCATGCGGGTATCGTGGAGGATCCGACCGGCTGGGTCTTGTTGGCCTAAATATGATCAGATCATCCGTAACTGCATGATGCATTTCAACTGTAGCACTCAACTACTGATTTACGAAGATATCTCACCTCCAAGACTATACAATGCCCAAAAGTGCCAATGTATTGTGAATTGTTGCGTCATAGCGATGTGAGATCTGATACTGTTATATTTTCCGGGCAGAAATAAATAGAGTAAAACGAGTTCACTAGTCGTTTGAAGGAGAGTGGTAATCAGGCTAACAGGTATTGTGTTCTGGATCGTACTTGAACTCTTTCTTCTTAATAAGCGGCATACTTGGATATCATTAATGAGGACCCTTGATAGAGGTATCAAATATAGGATTAGGTTCCAACGCAGGAGAGGATAACCCAGGGCATATCAGGCCATGGTTGAGATGCAACATAGCCTTGAACACGAAGTGTCAACAGTCAATACCTTGTCGATGACTCACGCATTGCCCATGGTATCAATGAAACCTCCAAATGAGGCCATAAATAAGATGCTGCAACGCTCACCGAATTGCATAAGCGTCCAGCGGTCACCGTTGATATGTCACCGAAGCTGACCTTGCGTATATCCTTGTCCGTTTCAAGCCCAGCAGGGGCCTCTGTGATCCTATCAAGATGTATCTTATAAATTACAACTTTCGATTGTTGAAATCAGACCATAAAGAAGGGACGATTGGGGCTCTGCGTGCCTTGCATGTCAGACAACAAATAGCCCCATCCATCCGGGGCCGGGGGTCATTAACCCGGATCCCCGGGACACGGACACCGAAAGATTCCGGGGACATTTTGGAGGCAGAAGAGCCTCGGTTGATTTGGCGAGCGTGGGGTGCATATGAACAAATTATACTGAATTTACGGAGTATTTTGCAGGACGGAGTAAGCTATTGAGATGATTCATTTCCACGCCTATACTTGTTCGGCGTTGGTATTGGCGTAGGAATGTGTCTCTTGAGAAACAACAACAAGGACAGCTGAAAACGAGTGTTAGTGAAAAGCTTAATCATACGTTGAAGCCCAACTCAATCTTCAGCCTCAAAAGATAATAATAATAACAACAATTGCCTCCTTTCCTGCAACAGTTGGTTAGACACACATGCTTGGCGTCCAAACTATGGATATTGGTATGGTCTGATTTTCCAAGGCACATGCTGACGGCACCGCTGTAATTGGAGATGGTTGATCGGTGTATGTATGTGCTGAAGCTGGATAGAGTTACTGGATGTGACCTCCTTTTTTTCCATCCTCGTGTAGGGGCTGTGCTTAGTGGGTTCATACAATGATTGAGTCTAAATTATAGAAAATACCTAGAGGAATAATCGCAGGGTATTTGGTGCATTTTAGTGAGTGTATATATACTTCAAGTTGAAGCTCCCCGTTTCTGGTGGAGAATGCCCAGAAACGTCCATATTTACCTTCCAAGCTTCAAAAACCCCGCGCAATTGGATCAAGGAAAGAGCTTAGCTGTCGAGCAGTCGCACAAAACATCCATACTTGCTAACCCATTTATTTCTTCCTCTTCAATCCCCTTTATAAGTCTTTTATCCCTTACATCTCCATCTTCATCTCTTCATCTCTTCACCCTCTTCTTCCTCTTCCTCAACTTCCAATCCGACCCATCCTTATCTTATCACCATGAAGCTCGCCGTATTCAGCACAAAACCCTACGATAAAAAGTACTTGTCGTCAGTCCTCGGCGCCAAGCACGCAGAGTCTGGCATCGAGCTCATCTTTCACGAATTCGCTCTTAACGAAGACACCGTCTCCCTCGTCGATGGAGCCGATGCCATTTGCGTCTTCGTCAACGATGTCGTCAACGACAATGTCATCTCCGCCCTGTCAGAATTTGGCGTAAAGGCTATTTTGCTGCGATGCGCAGGCTTCAATAATGTTGACCTCGATGCTGCCCAGCGTCTCCGCATCATGGTCGCCAATGTCCCCTCCTATTCTCCCGAGGCTGTTGCCGAGTTTGCTGTTGCTCTGATCCAGACCCTCAACCGAAAGACCCATCGCGCTTACAACCGTGTTCGCGAGGGTAACTTTGCTCTCGATGGCCTTCTCGGAAAGACTCTCTATGGCAAGACTGTCGGCATTGTCGGTGTTGGCAAAATTGGTCTTGCTACTGCGCGCATCATGAAGGGCTTCGGCTGCAGACTCCTCGCATATGATCCCTTCCCTTCACCAGCCTTTGAGGAGTATGGTGAGTACAAGTCTCTCGAAGACCTTCTCCCTCAGTGCGATATTGTCAGTCTTCATTGTCCTCTCATGGAGCAAACGCGGCACATCATCAACCGCAACACTATTTCTCTGATGAAAGAGGGTGCCATGCTGGTCAATACCTCACGAGGTGGCCTGCTCGACACCGAATCTGTCATCCATGCGCTCAAGACAAATCATATCGGCGGCCTTGCGCTCGATGTGTACGAGGCTGAAGGTGAACTCTTCTACAACGACCACTCGTCGACAATCATTCAAGATGATAAGCTCATGCGTCTCATGACGTTCCCCAATGTGGTTGTTTGTGGTCACCAAGCCTTCTTCACCGAGGAGGCTCTCACCGAGATTGCCGAGTGCACCCTTAGCAACCTCGAGGAGTGGATAGAGACCAAGACAAGCAAGAACTCTCTCACCAAAGACCTCAAGTTGCGACGCCGTGAATCACTACCCGTCCGCGCCATCTAAAGGGGTCCCATTCTCTGCTTTTCTGCTCTGTTCTTTGTTTTCGCGGCGTTTAGGGGAGGGAGTGTCGATGATCCACTGGAAATAACGACCCTTTGCTCCTATCCTTGTTTAGGCAAAACTTCACACCTCTAGTGGGATGCTATCGCGGCCGAGCCGGGAACTAGAAGGAGATGAAGAGCGATCCCTGCTGCCATGTTCTTCGCCAAGTGGGCCCTCTCGATGAAAAGCTCTGTTGCGACCCATTTCATCGCCGAACGGTACCGATGAAGGATAAGCTTGCATGAACGCCCTCCGACCCCCTGAAAACCTAGTTTCTGTGTAGGATGATAGCAGTTCAGTCGTCGTGTCTGTTTGTTCGTTTTCCTGTCGTTTTCGTTCGGTCAAGGTGGTGAAAAGAAATAGTTCTTTGATGATTCTGCTGCACATGGTCAGCAAAGGCTCTTTATCAGGCTTGGATACTTCTTGCAGACACACGATAGAGGCACTGATGGTTCAGTGTGTTAATCAAAATGACATTAAATTCAAGGGTATTATGCTAAATATCCGAGTCTACTCTAAATAGTTTTCCGTGCATATTGTTCGTATATGCAAGTCCTGTCCAGGCATTAAAATCCAACCTCCTTGTACTGCCCCAAGTCTAAGTCCCAGTCCCAGTCTATTTTTTTCATATGAAAATGTCCAAAGGACAAGTTGGAAAGCCAATTGGGTGTAGTTGGCTTAGGGGTTGCTCACATAGCTGCGAGCACGGCGAAGATCCTCATCCTCAGAGTCACCACGGACTTGAGCGCCGCCATGAGTGTTCACACGACCCTTGGCCTTCTCAATATCGTCGACAGTCTCGTCATCGCCACCGTAAGCGTACTTGCTACGCTCACGGATCTTGGCGCCGTACTTCCAGAACATGAATGGAATGGCACAGCAAGCAAGACTGATGAAAGCAAGGAGTGTTGAGGCCCATTGATCGTTAAGACGGTCATACATCTGCTCAGTGAAGAGAACAACTGCAGCGCCCCAGAAGCTTCGGATGCAAGTCTTTGCAGCGAGAGCAGAGGCAGCCTGATGCTGATAAGAGTCGACAAGGTAGTTGTTGGCAGAGTTGTAAAGGAAGATGAAGCCAAAGCCGACAGGGAAACCACCCATAGCAGGACCAGCCCAAGAAAGATCCTTGTATGAGGTCCAGGCAAATATGAATAGGCCAATGGGAATGAACCAGCATGAGGCCATCATGGGAATAAGACGAACCTCGGCGGGAGGATGACCATTGTGCTTCTTGACGAGCGAGATGTAATGGTTGTTTACCCACGGAGAGCAAGCAGCTGAGAGGAGAACACCAACAGCGACAGGAATGAACATGAGACCAGTCTTTCCAGCGGAGTAACCCTTGCCCTTCTGGTAGATAATAGGGAAGGCAACGAAGAACATGTACAGAAGACCGTAGAGGACACTCATATACACGGAGATAAGGAAGACGATGAGCTCGCCAAAGAGAAGCTGGAAAGGTCGAATGAGGAAGATTCGGAGACGCTCAGACAGAGGTCGAAGATCCAGTTCTTGCTCTGTAACATGGTCGGTTTCACCAGTGGCAGCTCGAAGCTTGCGAGCTCGGCGGGCGAGAAGAGTAGGGGCGTAAGTCTCTGGGACGGTGAAGGTGATGAGAACCCAGACGACGAAGGCGAGGATGAGCTGGATCCAGTAGAGCCATCGCCAACCAGCGGCATCAGAGAGGAAGCCACCGACAAGAGGACCAACTGATGCATTCGTTAGTATTTGGATAAGTGAGGGTATTCAGGGATAACTTACTAGCAGGGCCGATGAAGGGAGCAGCAGAGAATGCAGCCATGGGAACACCACGCTCTTCATTCTTCCACAGATCGGCGAGTGTACCACCGACAAGGGTCATAGGTGCTGAGAAAGCAATACCATCGATGGCTCGGCAGACGAGAAGAGTCTCGATGTTCTTTGCCACGGCACAAGGAATGATAAAGATGACAGCAACAAGAAGAGTAGAGCCACTGAACAACATTAATAATAATCCACCAAATATCTCAGGCGAGAAGACTTACTAGATGACTCGTCGACCGTAAATCTCAGAAAGGGGTGCAAAAACCATGGGCCCTACACCAAAACCCACTACGAAGAGACTGATACTCACAAGAGCAAGTTCGTTACTGACGTTCAGATCCTTGACCACTCCGGCGATATCAGCAGTGATAACACTAGAGCAGAACGCAACAACAAAGCACGTCAGCGCCACACACATAGTGCACCACCACTTATAAGCCTTGCTCCAATTCTTAGGATTCTCTTTATCGCCAGGAGTGAAAGTGACAAGCTTATACCGCCTCTCCTGTCCAGGTTCATGATTTGTCGACTTCCTCGCAATCTCCTCAGGCTGGATAGGACCGGGGATAGCACCGCCTGGAACTTCAACGCGATATTCGTCTAGGTTGGCATTGGCGCTGAGGGTTCGGTATGGCAGGTCGATATCTAGATCTGGATCGCGGGTTTCCTTCTGGGAACCATCGTGGGAGTGAGTGTGGGTGTGGGAGAGGGAGCGACGGATGCGGCTCATTGTTGTTGGGTGGGTGTTTAGGGGTGCGAAGGTGGTGTCGTCTTCACGACCTTCTAGAGTTGTTGAAGAGCGATTTGGATTTTGTTGATCCATTTTGGTTGGTTGGTTGGCAGTGCATTACAATACTCAGTATACAAGGTTAAGAAGATCAAGGAGAGTAGAGTAGATGGGTAAAGGAAGAGAATCAAGTCAATGTCCCCAAGATGTTCAATAGAAAACAAAACTTTCATAAACTGGGCCATGCCCACCTCTATATACCTCCCCATCTCATCTCATCTCTCGCTCCAAATATTTCTCATTCAATGGAAAAGGTAACCTTGTCCCCACATGAATTGATATCGCCGCACCCGAATTCCGGCGCTGGGCCGTCAAAGTGGGTCCTCGCCACCCGATAAAAAGACCCACTCTTTGCGGATGCGGCTGCGAACCGTGCGGCTCCATCCGAGAACTTGAGTGTCTGTCTTTACATACAAGAATAAGCATATCACAAATTTACCTGTTTTTGAGGGAGTCACTCGCTTGGTTGGTTGGGGATACCTCGGTGTTGGGGTGTAGCATTATCGATTCATTATTTGCTTCTTCTGATCAGGGGATGAACACGTTACATGCCTCTGACATCCTTGCTTGTTTGTGAGCCTCAATATCAGCCACATCTTTTTCTTTCCCTTTAGTTCTGTCTCTCAGTTCCAATCTGATTTCCGTACTTTTAAGTTTGGTTTGTTACGGTTAATGATTGTCTTCCTTTAGTCCTTCGGTCTCAGTCCGTTAAACACATCAACGGGCGTCTAAGAGCCTCCACATCGGAACCGTCGCTTCCGATGTGGGCCCGCGATATCTAAGCTTCATCACCGTCATCGGAACTTAGACATGTACTGGGCTGAAACAACGAGACTAAAAACTCAAGCTTCACGCCAACGTCATTGCTGCACCAACCCCTGTTCACTCTTCGGTAATAATCCTTGTAACTTCTGCTTAGACTATCATGTTACTTATTGATGCTATCAACTGATAATGCAATCTCTAGTCCTTCCGGAACATCGCCGAATCTCTTACCTCTCCTCTCTATTGAGGACTCGAGAGGGAGCTTGACTACTTGTTAAAGTTCATCTACCACTCCCGAAATACAATCTTAGTAGTAAGTCTCCCATGGTTGTAGGTCGGTGGTATTTGCCCAGGCGTGTCCGGTTCTATCTTTAGGGCAATCTCTGCACTCGTCAAAGCTTCAAAAGAAACATCTGGCGCCGCAACCACCTGCTCCTCTTCTGTCATGTTGTAGTCACCCTTAGAATCAACCTGTCTCAGACTCCCATTGGCCTCCACGACTGTACGATGAGGTGTGTCTCGATGACCGACACGCAAGGCCCACGCCCGAGCCCACCCCTGCTCGCAGAACGCCCAAAGAATCACATCAGCTCCCGAATCTAGGACAAGCTCCACCAAATTGCAACAGATAGCAACTGGCAGCCCTCGAACTTCGAGCGGCCTTGTTGTCACTCCTGCGAAACCATCAACCTCAGAGTCGATCTCGTTGCAACTTCCCTTGGGCCGCGAGTCTATCTCAACCAACAAGCTGCCATTCTCATCATGTTGGGTGGTATTTATGTAATGCTGACGACATAGGCCGTGAGATATGACGGCAAGCACATCTGGCGGTATCATGTAAAGAACAATCATCTGCTTGTCTGCGTCTGAAGTTACCGACGGATCTGGGCTGATGGGTCTGGTTAAGATGTCCTCTCCTGGACTGTCGTATCCACTGCCAGCCGCAAATGTTGCCATGACACAGACCCCGAATCTTGTGTCAGATACAGCTGTGTATAACACGGGCAGCGTTGACGTCGTATTCATAGGAGGACGAAATTGGGCCTTGCAAATAGGGCGATCCAAGAACCCTCCTGTTGCATCAGAACCCAAAGAAAGGGTCCCGGTTCTGGGATCCGTGTACAAAATATGGTCTCCATCGCCCAAGGGAACAGGTCTGTAGTGATGCCTGATGTTGCTGGTGGCTATTCCTTGGGCTGGGCTTTGTTCTCTACTGCGATGCTGCTGTTGTCGGTCATAGCCATCGCGTGCTTCTATGAACTGAGAGACTTGATCGTATGCTCTGACGTCTCCACTCAGAGGGGTCATTGCCGTGACCCCTGTGTCGCTCCCTATAGTCAAGCCTCTGGGCTTGCTACTGGGATAATGAAGACGTTTCCGACTGGACCAAATAGATTACCGAACGTCGCCGGAGTCGAAGTGCATCAGCCGCATATGTCTTGTCAGATCATGCGCTTAGCGAGGTCACGCCCGATGGCACATCAATAAGTTGGTAGCCGCGATCTGAGCAGATTTCAAAAAGCATGTGTAGAATTCATGTGTAGGTATGAGCGAATGTTCTCGTGATAAGTGCTTGTCGATATTTGGCCAAACGAATGATGATGACGGAGAAGAAAATGACCGCCTCAGTCATAGTTAATCGAGGAAAGCACTGTTGTCGACATCATGGGATTGGAAGTGCAAGTGGGAAGGGGCAGATCAGGATACTTCTTGCTTAACATGGTCTCACGACTCAACTGCGCTTCGGTTTCATGATTTCTATGTCTTCGGATATTCTAGACATGACTTTGACCGACAACAAGCTAACGTGTATTCTTGCGATAAAAGAAAAGGACAGTTGGGGTACCTGCTCAAACTTCAGACCCCAAGCAAGCGCTATAATCATGCATGCCACCTTCAATCAACGTCATTAAACATTATTTCCTCCGTTGTCTCTCCACACGTTTTCGTCTCCTATACCGAGCGTGCTATCGACACCCTGCAGAACAGGGTGTTCAGTCTCCTCTGTTGACTGCGTGTCATCCGTGGGGATGGGTGGAGGTGGCTCATCGTAGATCCACGGCTGGGGAAGTCTGTATATCTGTCAGAATTCATGTCATATATGTCAGGCAAATAATAACTTACGGGGCCACAAGACTGGGGTTGACGAATTGCAGTCCCTTCTCTTTGTACTCGTCTAGGGTACTTCCACGACGTAGGATGGCCTGTGAGGGTCGAGGGTGGTCCTCGTTCTCAAACGCGTCATCCAGCGCAGCTGCATCATCTGGATCCTCATCTGCCCTGACAGCGCGAAGAGCAATGTACTTGGTCAGAGGCTCGAATCGCTGCTTGATATAGTAGCTATACCAGGTGGTCAAGGGGAGCAGTGGGAGAATGCACACCGACTGAATGAATGCCTGATATGTGACGATCCGGCCCACCATGACAATCTCCAAGACCAGCAACCCCACGATGATACGGTAGCTTATTATTCTCCACGCACCTCCAGTGGCATGTTGGGGCTGATCCATTGCATAGAGTACCATGTACTTGAAAGCAAAGTAGCCCAGACAGAAGTACACAGTTCCAACAACGAGAATAGCATATCCCCAATACAAGACACTGTAGATAAGACAGAGGTTGAAAACAAGCAGAGACGTGGGCAGGAAAAAGCCGTACTGAAAAACCGGAGGTTTCTTGAGCTCAAGGGCATCGCGTGGCGTCTTGGAAAGCCACCGGAGGAACGGATGGAGGAATACACTTCCCGCCTCAAGAATTCGGAAGGGCATAAGGCCAATGCCCTGGAGCAAGATGAAGCAAATATAGAAAATTGATAGCGCCTCCACGTCGTCGGCCATGTATGTCGCCATTTTGCTTGTGTCCTTCGCAATTTCTTGAATCCGGCTCCAGAAATTGATTCCTGTCAATGACACCGCAAAAACAAAGAATGTGTTGAAGAAGGTGAAGAAGTAGTTCTTGGAGATGACAGAGAGTTCGACATCACCCTGTGAAATCATTCCTTGGTGGTTAGAGAGGAAATCGTATAGATACGGAACGGCAACGTTAAGAAGCGATACAACTAAAGCAGGCAAACCGTTTTGGACAAACGAGAAGATAACGCCGTGCTGTCGCAGCCATTCTGCAAATGCTGGGAAGTGAGTGCGGATTGTGCAGTAGCTCAAAAGTGTCGAGATGCCAATGGTGGGGAATATGAATGCGAGTGTGAGAGCCGTAATGAACAATGTCACAGCCCAAGATTTGAGACGGCGAATACCGCGGGGAGCGTATGTATTCCTCCAGACGAGATCTGAAGGAGCTGGTGTCAACTTGGTCAGGAGCCGGCCTGGCCTGGGGTCAATTCGGGCCTGGATAGCCATTTGGCATGAAGCCACAGAGTCCATAGTAACAATGGCCATGTCTGTGGGCGCGTATGACTTCTTGCGCGCCTCTGTGACTTGTGCATCCAGCCTTCGAAGTCGTTCCTCGTAGTAATCAATAGCGTCAACGTTGCGAGATCGCAGACCTAGGGTTCCATAGCGTATGTTAACTTTGGGTCGGCCCTCATCGTCAGAACTCCATGGCTCCTGTTGAGTGTCCAAGAGGCGTCCGTTCTCTCCAGCTTGGTCGTCATCTTCTTGGTCTCCTTGGTCTCGAGGCACTCCATTACCATCTCTCCTTTGGGGCCTACTGCTTTTTTGTTTCTGGCGCTGGTGCTTGAGAAAGGTAGCCCATGCAGCTTCCAGGCGTCGCAAAGTCGCATCTCTCAAATCAACAAGGTCGTCAAGCTTCTTCCAGTCTCGACAAAGCAAAACCTTCTCAACTTTTCCGATGCCCAATTTTTCAATAAGTTCCTTGATATTATCTTCTGATCTCAGATCCTCAGGAATACCTGTAAGTCGGAACGTCCTATCTGTTACGGTGGACTGTGATCCAAGATAGTCTTGGCGGAATTTGATGACGCGAAATGTCTCGAGGTTGAGATAGTAAATCGTCAAGCCAACAAAGAAGTATGTGAAAACGACATAAGCCCAAAGCCAGGACCTCTCGAAGCTTTTGTCCGTTTTATCCTTGTGCTTCAGTATGTCGAGGAAGCTGGCATCTGAGAACACCTGTTGATCTGTTCCAAACAATGAAATCGGGTTAACTGATGTATCGTCACCATCATGGCCCTTGTCGTCTTTGACGTCCGAAAACGCGCGATTGATTGGCAACAGGATAACCGTCGCAAAGATTGCCATGATGCTAAAGAGTCGGATGGCCATTTTGAAGAAGCTAAGAAACTATGACCCGTTAATGATATATACACGCCTCTCGGGGTTTGTGTCGTACCACAAAAGCATCGAGTCCGGCGGAGGCCAGGACCTGTTCTTCGGTGATTTTAAAAAGTGTCGGGATCCAGCCAAACATGGAATTTGGAAGGGCAGGCAGACCAAGTTGGTGATCGAGGCGCCGTTTTCGCGCAGCGTAAAGGGCGGGCCATCGTGGGCGTAGGATCTTTAATGAGTCAGCTCTGAACCTTAGAACGTTGTAAGATTAATAGGGGGCCGTGAAGCATCTTCCAGCCATGCCAAGGACAGACATACACAGAAGACCAAGAAGGCAGAAACGCCAATCACCAAGGACAGTACGAGCTGAACCTCGAGACTCTTGCCGGTGTCAGGGGCGATGACCTTCCGACTCTCCTTCCAGCATGAATCGGGTTCGTTCTTCATCGCGAGGTACGATGATTAATACTCACAGCGATAAATGCTGAGAGTTGTTGTGTGAGACGCAAATGCAAGGCTGAAACTATTCAGGTTCAAGTTGTGGCGCCTGACGAGTTAGAACCGATGACGTACGGAGACGGTGAAGGGAGACCCACAGGAGCTTTGGTTGGCGAGTCATGTGTCGACACAAACACCTACCCTGTACCATGAAGAAGTCGTATAAGTCATTTACCTGACTTCCATGAACCACATTTCAGATGTGCAAGATAAGGTAGTGTTGAATTACCACGGTGCAATCTCTACTTTAAGTGCAGATATCTCTGATATTTCCTTCCTGATCATCAAGTAAGGACCTTGGTATACCTAAGCCACAAAGAGCCGAGTCTGTTGTATCGTAATTGAGGCTATGCATGAACTCCGTCTATTTCCTTCAAATCTGCATTTGCGGTCCATTCTTGAAAGAAAGAACGTTCCCATCCTTTCAGAATGGATAGTCCAATACCTGATTTTTGAGATATGTTGAGTAAGGTCTCGCGATGGGGTTGAGCTGTAGTACCCCCCCAAAAAAAAAACCCATGCGCGCTGTCGGAATAGGGTAAGATTCTCTTGTGTATAATTGCGAGGCGTGCCATGACGAAGTACGATGTCCATCCACAATTCTGGAACCAACGCCCTTTTCCTGTCAAAATTTCCCGAAATGGTTTCTTTATGGGCGCGATCATAGCCACAACCGAACCTGGCATCTCTGAGAAGAGACAATGCAGGTTCAATCGAAGCTTTTTGACCTTGCCGCTTTTGTCTCTCATCCAAGAGGCTCATGATTGGCTGTGACCATAGTTCGGTAGTTTTGCTGCGGCCGTGGCGCACACGGACTTATCGTTTGTGAGTGCTTCTACCCATTGGGTCGTCTCGCAGACGATGCTGCTGGAGCGGTCAAGTCCTGGGGGTGGTGGATCCGGCACCTCGGCTCCAGACCACTCGGAAAAGAAGGCTGTATATAGAGTTTGTATATAGGTACGAACACACCTGATGGCTTCGTCCTCCCATGGCAGAAACTTATGGCCTCCTCGTCGACTCAGTTAGGCTGGAGGCCTATAGCTACGACCAATAACCGCGACGTAAAGACGAACCTTGCTCATCAACTCGTGTCTTAGGAAAGCCCAGAAAAGAAGTTTCCGTCCAGGTTTGTCGAGAATATCCAGGTCAACCCCCCCCTCGAGCCCTTGGCGCTCGTTGTAAGTCAAGCCCGAGTCCACCACAGGAAGACCTCGATATGCTCGTGGGAGGAAATCAGAGGTCGCCTTGTCCAAGTAGTCTTTGATGAGAGACAGTAAAAGTTGGTAAAGTTTGTATGTACCGTCAACAGTAGACTGATCTTCTAGGGCCAAGAGAGTATCCGCCAATTCCTGTGTCGGCCATCTGTCCATCACTATGTAAATGTCCTTCTTGAGGCAAGCTTGATCGTGCTTACTCAAGATGATGAGATTTTGGAGTTTCAGGATGGCCATGGCATCTTGAAGCATCTCCTTATCGAAATCAGCTTTAATCTGATCTTGCATGGCTTTGCTGTCGGCAGTAGTGGATTCTGTTTGTAGCAGAACCTTCTCAGTTGCGTTGTGTTTGATGTGGGTTTCAATGCCCGCTGAACGAATAGAGGAGAGAAGTCCAGGATTAATAGTTGAGCCAACGGGCGCGAAAGGGTCAAAGAGTTCAACAGGATGAGTGGGATTCGTGCTCGAAGACTCTGGGTCATCGAGATTTGAGTCCTCATCAACATAACATTTGGGGCGGCTATCTTCCGAGTCGATATCCGTCTCAGTATGGTGGACGATCCTTGCACCGAAAATGTCCTCCTGTGTAATCGACGAATCGTCATAACTGCAGAAAGCGTCATCAAATAAGGATTGTGGGGTCGCGTGGCGAAGGCTAGATTGATATTCTTCATGGACATTAGCATCCGGGTTGACGTAGCCATCGAGACCGGCATAGAATGCCTGAGGGCCAGGACACTTCCCTTTAGTAGGAGTGAATATAGGGTTAGGGGGAGCCATTTCGTCCGTTCTGTATATAAACCGTTGAAGCAAAGGATCTTTGATTGATTGGTATAATCGATTGTTGTTTCTTTGTGCCAGCTATTGATTGAAATTCATGAAGCAAGGATATATATATATACGAGAGAATCCGGAGAGAAAAGGTAAAGTCCATTATATATTAGTCTAGATATTTACTTTGGGTTTATAACCTAGAACATTCATATGTTCAAAGTGAAAGTTTCTGGCAACAGATATGAGCTCAAAGTGTAAGAGAATAAATAATTTTAGTACCCATTTGATTCTAGCGGTACCTGAACCTTATGGTTATTAGCCACTTTGAAAATCAAAATGTTTTCTGGCTCATTTAAAGCGTTGCGCTGATTTATTGTGGAAAGTTTAAGCCCATATTGTAGAGAAAACAACCAAAGAAACTTCTGATATCGAGTGCCACTTTGCTGGAGGCTTTCCTCATAAGGTAGGATCCTTAAGGTTATTGAAATATGAGGACATGTTATCATTCATACCATTTGGCAAGGTTCCTCGAACAGTAGATTCAAAGTTACTGGGCCTGTCTTTGTCATACAAATACTGTCTCAGAGCATAGAGACTCCAGCGACCTGTAGCGATGACTGAATCGAAGGTTTGTTATGCATACCAGTCTTTGTGTTTTACATATAGGCCTTTCAGTTCATATTCTTGAACACTAATGACCTGTTGGGTAGAAGGAAATCACGATAGATACTTACTACTATGTACCTAAATCTTTTATAGACAAGTCCACGAGTAAAAGCTGGCAATATAACTTGTTCCGGCATCGTGTATGTGGGGTTGTTCTCAAAGTTAGACATAACCTCCGTTGCAAAAGCTTAAATTATGCCTTTAGGAAAGAACACTATAGTCTTTCATATTATACTACTAGAACGACGAGTATCAGTCTGGATATTTCTCTTACGAACTAGTATTGGTGGCTTTCTGATCGGTCAAGATATTCATTTCCGAGAAAGAGTCGCCTCGATCCGACTTATTTCGCTGTTGCCAAAATGGATATAAGATTACCTAGGTATGTTCAGTGCCCCCCACGCCTGCTCGGACGATCTTTAAGGCAAGGCCTTGAGACAAGAAACAGCATTGGCTGAAGGAGGGTCGTATAAGGCCAGGGGGCTCCACTGGAAAGGAATCCTTCTTCTTCAAATCCTCCACTTTCCACTGGACAAAGACTCCAATATATCGGTAAACTCCGTTTCTATTCTTCTTGGCCGCATAAGATATCGTGTGCTAGTGAGTAAGGCCAGTCAAACGATGTGGAACTGCCCAGGATCTTCAGTTTAGCTCTCCACTGGCTTGAGGCGATGGCTTCATGCTGTCCACCGGAAATAACGCGCTTTTGCCTACTAAGTTAGTTCGCGATGAGGTAAGAGGCGTTCCTTGAACAGCAACCGACTTCGCCTTTCACCATCACGATCTTCTGACAAATACAAGAGAAAAACCAACCCGTTGGCCTGCAGTAAAGCAGAACACACGTTGTGACGAGAAAAACGGACAAGGGCTGCTCAAGCGACAAGAACTGCAATGAACCAACATGAGAAACCTTATTTCATAAGATCTTATCTTATCTAGATAATCAGTCGCTGGTGGCTGAAAGAGCCGCCAGGGCTGAAGCGCCTCAACTTAAACCCACCATGGCCTCAAATGGGTACGCAAAACTCTGCTAGTTCATCCGTTATTTGATCAAAGAATTCGTTCTCGGGCCCGGAACCAAACGCATAGCTAACAGGCTCCTTCGACTGGTCTCACGACAATTGCCAAGCGAACTGGTCAAGAATTGATCGTACCAGGATTAAACCCTTCATACTTGCAGGTAAACCACATTCGAGAACAACAGACTTGATCAATTACGGGTCATCAGGTTTCTGATTCGTGCTTGGGAGAGATCCATATCGATTCTAGCAACTCTTGTCGAGGACCGGACTATGAGAGTTCACCCGACGGCAACGGCCATGAACTCATTATGCTGGGATCCTTTGTACCGGCTTGGATTAGGCGATGGGCCTCTCCACTAAATCCTCCTTTATCGGCTTATCTGATGATCAGATAGAAGCAACTTCGGCGAGCATCCCTGAATCGCAAAGAGCCTCTGCAGCAGCCAGAGCTCGGTATTAGACCAGTTGCGGAAGTGATCATCTAGCAACATGAATCCTTCAAGCTTCTCCCAATGAGAACAAAGCATTCTTCCCTGACACTAGAGTTCTCTCCGATGTTCAAGGGTGCTCATCCGTCTTACTGCAGAAACTCCACTCAGAATCATCCGCTGCAATACAGGAACCATGAATCCATGAATCCATGACCATTCTCTGCACACTTTTTCTCTGTAAAAGAGCTTGGCATTAGTCCGACTTCCGGAACAAGGCACTGGCAACTCTGCAGGACAGGTCCGGCACAAGACGAATCCCTACAGACCCAGAAGATGGACGGTCCATCCCATTGTCTTGCCAATCACGGAGGAAGAGACGAGACAGGATGTTGCGAATATTTCTGGAGAATGTAACGCTGTCTATAAATCCGCGGCTTTAATCACGTTTCTGTGTTGCATTTATGTTCCTTCATGCCACTACCTTAAATACAAAGTGCCTCAGCTAAGTGTAACCCACTCGTGGTACTTTTGAACCTTCTTTGCAACTCTATTCCCAGCTCTCTGGCCATCATTGCATCTCAAAGGTTCCATCAAGAAAACATGGCTGCTTCCACCAGCCCAGCTCAAGTCCAGGGCGACTTTGAGAAGCAGATACAACCTGAGAACCATGCCATCAATGATTTCCCCGACAAGGAAAAGGAGCATGATTCAGATGATGGCTCCGAGATCAAGCAGGACGGCGTCAAGCGTGTCGAGGCCATCACCAAAGTCTGGTCTCCTGGTATGATGTGGGCTGTTTTTATATTGTATGCTCTCTGACGCTCCTGTTTACGAGCCACTGAGAACCAGCTAACATTAATGCAGCCTCTACTTGGTCAACTTCGTCGATACTCTCCTTCAGGCTGTTCACTCCAGTTTGGTGCCATATGTCACTTCTTCGTTCAGCCAGCACGGCCTGCTTGCCATAACCAGTGTCTTTGGATCCATCATCGCGGGTGTCAGCAAGCTCGCCATCGCCAAGATCATCGATATTCGCGGCCGAAACGAAGGGTTCCTGCTGATGATTCTGATAATCATTATCGGGATGATTATGAAAGCCTGCTGCAAGAATGTTGAGACTTATGCTGCTGGTCATACCTTCTACTGGGTTGGCCACGTTGGTCTAAGCTACATTATCGATGTCGTTCTTTCAGACATGACTTCTCTTCGCAACCGCATGATCATGTTCGGCCTTTATATGAGCCCCCGACTTGCTTCTACTTTCGGTGGCCCTAAGATTGCTGAGTTGTTCTTCAAGCACTCGACCTATCGCTGGGCTTTCGGATCTTTTTGTATCATTCTTGTCTTCTTCTCTATCCCCGTGTCTGCCATTTTTATGTATCACGAAATCAAGGCCAAGAAGCTTGGGTACTTGCCAGAGAAGAGTCAGCGCAGTCTCTGGGACTCAACGAAGCACTACTTTGTCGAATTTGACATTGTTGGCATGATCCTCACCATTGCTGGTTTCTCTCTTATCCTGACCCCTCTCAACATTGCCACTCGTGCTCCCAACGGTTGGAAGACTGACTATATCATCGCAATGCTTGTTGTTGGCGTTGTTTGCCTTGCCGGATTTGCTGCCTGGGAGAAGTGGTATGCTAAGGTGCCCTATGTACCTTTCAAGTTCCTCAAGGACCGAACCATCCTAGGTGCTTGCCTTCTAAGCGCTTTTCTCAACATGTCCATCTTTGCCTGGGACACTTATTACAACTCGTACCTACAGGTCGTCCATGGTCTCAGCATCGCCACCGCTGGATACACTCTGAACGCATTTTCTGTGACGTCTACTATCCTGGCGCCCTTCATCGGACTGTGAGTTGCGCCACTGTCTCAACAAATCTGGTCATTCTGCTAACATGGCATACAGTTTCCTCCGTTGGTATGGAAGATACTACTGGCCTGCAGTTTTCGGCATCCCCTGGTGTGTCCTTGGTACTGCACTTCTCATCCACTTCCGACAGCCTGGAAACGACATCGGTTACCTCGTCATGTGCCAGGTCTTCCATGGTGTGTGCGGTGGTATTTGGGCCATGACCGGGCCTCTCGCCATCATGACTCAGGTTACCCACCAAGAGATTGCCGTTGTGCTCGCACTCTACTCTATGTTCGGCTCCATCGGCCAGGCCATCGGTTTCGGCATCTCTGGTGCCCTGTGGACCAACGATCTACCCAGAGAGATGTACAAGGCTCTCCCCCAGGATGCCAAGAACCAAACCGCTGCCCTCTACGGCGACATGAAGCTGCAGATGGCCGACCCAATAGGCACTCCTATCCGAGATGCCGTTGTTCACGCCTACGGAGTTGTACAGCGCGAGATGGTTATTGCCGGATGCGCTTTCTTGCCTCTGATCTGTATCTGTGTTATTGTCTGGCGTAACAAGCCGATTGACAGACAGCAGACTAAGGGTAATGTCTTTTAGATTGTGCTAGGAGCATCAAATGAGTTGAACTTGGAGGCTTTGCAGTCTCAGTCGGTGTATCTACAAACAAGGACCAAAAGTGATTTATTCAAGAGGCTATCTCTCGTTTACAAAATTTAGACTTGGCGATTTATCCCTTATCGTGATTCACCTGCCTATGAAGTTGTTTGTGAGGCTAGCTAATGACCTTTTGCCCAGGAAACATGAGATTTCATAGTAAGGAAGCCCACAAACGAAATTTGATCAACTGTTGAATGACTCAAGAGAGTACTGGAATCCCCGAATCCCTCGCTATTTTCTCATCAGCCTGATATTGAAGCAAGTTGATGTTGTGCATCTGTGGCAAAGCGATCTACGAGCGTATGATACCGGCATGTCTCGAATTTCTGCCTACGCATTGATTAGACGGGTATCGACATTGATTCATGCCGATACGCATATTATCAGGATACCCGCATCAACACCTCGCCTCGTGAGTTTGCCGTCGCATCTGCCGTCCTTGTTTGCTACGCTCATAGGCTCACATGCCTTTTGTGTAACATCCAAATCAATAGCGCGACTGAAACAACTCTAGGATCATGCGTGGCTCTGGCCTCTTTTTGCTAATCTACAAACATTCTGGAGAACTACCCATGCTCTATAGCTGATCCAGTCTGCAATTACCCGCGCTCACAAGATCGATGACTGCTTCACCTTGTGGGACGCATTGCGTAAGATGCGAGAGATGCAGCAGGCTGAGAGTGTTGGTGGTTTCGATTGATTGGAGACCAGAGTCGACACGGCTTCATGCATTAAGACAACGGGTAGCCGCATGAGAATCACCGAGCTGGACTTCGAGTCCTGATGATATGGATAAGCCGGCTTATATCTCATCCGTTACTATCCCTAGCTCTATGTATTGTCCGTAATGGATGGCCGGCATTACTATCTGCGTTTACTGCTTCGAGGACAGAAGGGCCCGAACAATGGTTGCATCTCAAAGTTTGCTGATATGCGGTATGATAGTCTCATGAACGCGTAAGAAGGCAGATTCAGAGCTATCACTGGCCATATTACCTTCATAGCAAAGAGGCATGGTGTTCTCGTCTCATGATGCATAGCACTACAACCCCTTCTCACTGATTCACTGAGCAACCAGACAAGAGGCAGTGCGCGTTATCCCGACCCGATCATACTATCCAAATAGGATACACCTGCAGTAGCGTGCGTGAGCATCGGATTGTCCCCTGAGTGCTCGATTTCTAGATGAATCACCGACGATATAGCTTTAACCCTGATCCCAGAGCATCCCAGTGTAACCAGCAACTGTACTTTGCGGTCTGGCAATGAGCCAACAAACAGAGTATGAAGCAGTCTACTTTACCACTAGAGTCACAAGAGGTCATGCCTGAGTTTCGTAGGGAGAGTTTGCATCATCTGGAATACAAACGGTTGAGAGAGCCTCTCGTTCTCTCGGACTATAAATGCCAGGCCTTCTCCCCGTGGATATGATCACCAAGAACTTGTTCAAGACTTTCGTCTACACAGAGAACACTTTCATCTTGAAGTCTTGAGATAACGAACGCTTTATCATCTAGAAACACTCTCCACATACTCAGGCATCAGTCTTCATAGAGTCTGCCTATCATCATGCCCGATCAGTCAAAGAAGGCCAATCAGCCAAAGAAGGGGACTGGTATTAAAGGAGAAGCCACTCAACCGGTGAATGGTGAGGCTTCTGGATCTGGTGGAAATTCGTCTACGCAGAATCAATCGGCAAGCACCTACACGCCAACCACATCCGGTGGAGGAGGAAATGCTCAAGAAACACCAAGGACACCAGAACGCGTAGAAGATTGGAGGCATGGAACGGGTGATAGCTGGAACACCTTCAATCGCCGTGAAGGAAACAATAACAATGTTGGCGGGTCTTCGTCAGGGACAGTATACCCCCCTGAGCTAGATCTCTCTTCCGATGAAGAAGACGAGAACCAGCCTGACAAAAAAGACGAATCCAAAAGGGACGGCAGAGGCAAAGACGTCTAGAAACGATCTACACAACGATCACAGGCCAGGTGAAAAGGCCCGATGAAGCCAAGTTGGAGAACACGATCAACTGAAATCTGGGGCTTTTGGTGGTGACGATTAGCGTCTCATGGTGCCATATTTTACTCTGGGTCAAATGTCAGAGGAAGATGGAGATGTTGGAGATACGGATTGAATGTTGAGGATAACAGATTGTGGACCAAGATATTAATCCGAGACAATTGTTTTACATTATTCATCCACTTTGATATGATACAGGTTGCAGACCCTCATTTGACAGGGAGGAACTGTCACGTAAAATTCCAGACTCTGACACGCTAGATGAATGTGTTGAGCAGTTTGTTATGTTTCTAGATGCTCTGATGGAAGCAATAATAAGCTAGTGACCACATGACTGGAGTGAAATTATAGGTAAATGCACGTCATGGGATGGTTCAATATAAGCCGGCAATGGTTAAGAATAGAGATTTTAGGTTTAGATATGACATTAAATTTTGTTTTGTAGCAATAAATATGATAGAATAATTAAGTCCAGCGGTCAACTAAACCACAATTTTCTCAACGTGAATGGCATGCCCAGAAATGAGGTTCCAAGATAACTCAGTCTAGGCAATATCTTGGCAATGGCTTGGTGTGGTGTGCATGATGAAGTCAATGTGACGGGTAAAATACGGTGCAGCTAATGGAAGGCTTGAAGAATAGGGCGGAAGCTAATTCTGACAGCGACATCATGGCTTGACTGTCAAGCATTGACTGCAAATGAGGTGCTAGAGTGCTAGAGCGCTAGAGTGCTAGAGGCAGAGCTGACAGTTGATCTGTGTGTTATAGACACTTAGTAAAGTCGTCGTCATGGCTGTCGATATCACACGCATTAACCCGCCAAGAATGGATGGATACCTTACTCAGGGCCTAACTATCTCACCGAATCGAGGCTGCTGAGGACGGAGAGAATTTCTCGTATTTGAGCGCATTTATTTAAAGTTGTATTACTGTATTCGTATCGAGGTACCACATCATGGAGATGGTGTCAGACAGTCAAGTAAATCACATACCAAAGTCTCAAAGTTGCAGTTGAAAAAAGTAAGATGCAGGTGAATCTTGTTCTTGGCAGGGGATAACACTCTAGAACACAATTGACCTGCCGTTTTCTGATAAATCTCTATCATGAGGTTTCTCTGTTGGGCAACATGAGAACAAGAGGCGCACGCATCGGAAATTGCAATGACGGAGAAACCCAAAATCCAACCAATCACCTGAAGGGTCGCAGTGGAGAAGCACTATTTCAGGCACGCAACTCCGCTGAATGGCCTGGGCTGGGCACGATTTCGGCTCCTTCTTACCGTAGTCTCCCACTGAAAGAAAGTCAATCAGACCGGAGACCTCAGGTCGGTATAGCTGACAAAAGGATCCAGGTAATCTAGGCCAAGTTTAGACGTCTCTTTGATGAGTTTATTTTGACACCGAGGCCTCTGCCGTTATGGACAGTAGTTCATAATACAACCAGAAATAGTTAGATTGTGTCTGTCTACCTACCTACTAATACACTAATACACGAGATGACGAGAGGCCTGCAAGACGGTAACGGTAAAGTCGTTGTACGAGGTGGCACAGTTATAAAGTTCAACATTACGGATAATACGGACCATGATAATGGATGGGTGATACAGACTGTGGGCTCTCATCAATGTTGTGCTGAAACTGAGACGCTCTCAGACGTTTCCTGTTCTACTGTCAGGGACAAGAGGGACAAGACAGGGACAAGGAAACAAAACGAGACGAGAAAAACACCAGAAACAAAAAGGGGACAGACTTTGTACATGTGTATGCAATGCAGATACGTAGCGTTTCTGGTGAGAATGATATTCTCCGCTTGATGCAGAAACTCTCTTGTTGCCTTTGGACAAGCCCAATGCGCCAAGCCCAGGCCACTGGATTCGACCGCGTGATACAACCATTACCTGATCCAAGATACATGGGGTTCATGTACCGACACCATATATAGATGGCTTCCGGGCTTCCCGTAGATACCTGGGACCCAAGTCTCTTGGCACCATCTTTTTTTGTTCTCTTCTCATACCGATGGGTTGGGGTTGGGGCTGGGCGGCTGCTACCATCCAGTGAGAGTGCCCAGAGTTGACTTACGCGGCAAGTTTATGTATGTATGTTTGTATTCCAAGAATTTTCCCTCCCTCCCTCCAGATTTCTCCAGATCTGTGTGAATGAGTGAATAAATGCTTTGGTGACATTCATTTTACTGTGCATTCCCCTCCAAATGCTGCTATCATTGGGTCATCTCCTCACAATTCCAATACATTTCCCAGTTCGGCAAGACCGTCGCATCTAACTAAAGAGACGAGACAACCTAGACATCCCTTCCCTTCCCTTGCACCCGCTGCCAGAAAGAGAGAAAAAAAAGAACACCAACCAAAACATCCCTGGCCCTGGTCTTGTCCCGCTACAAAGTCGCCCGACTCTGCCGCTTACAGTGAGATAGTGGCCCAGTTTTTCCCCGGCTGCACTGCAGGCTGTTGTTCACTGCCCGCTGTGACTTCCATTGCTCCCACCCACTCTTTATTTCTCTGGGCTCTCTTCTTCCTCGTCTCTTCCCAGCCATCTATCTCCATCAACATCGATTATCTATCGATCAGCAAGTGAAATCGATCCTTCTGTCAACCAACTACCGAATCCTACTGGGTCATCTGATCTCATTGTTCTCTTCAGGCCCTAAAGGGGACAAAAACGACAAAGAAGAGAGGTTGGGCTTTGCTTCGGTCAGACTTTGTTTATTCCCCTCTACTCAAAGTGGTTTGGTGACGACACGACTCTTTCAATAGCGTATTGCACAAACGCAAGCCAGCCTTGGCTCCCACCCAAAGACAGGCACTGCATTTCCAGGTCGTTTCTTCGCTGTACATACCTACCTCTCTAGGCCTTGTCCTGCCCTGTCTTGTCTTGTCTTGTCTTGCCTCCCTCACATACATACATACATACATACATACATACATACATACATACATACATACATACACACACATACAAAGGACACTTCCCGCCCCCCCCCGGTTCCACTGAACACAACCTTAATCCTCGTCTCTCGTTACTGTCTGTGCCTGTATCGTACCTTCTACTCCCACGATCCCGTCGCTCGTTTTCTCCCTTCGACACCGATCTCGACCTCGACCACGACCTCGACTTGGACTATCGATCCCTCCGAACTGGGCTTAACTGACCTTTAAACTTCGTCAAAATGGGTGCGTCATCTCTCAGCCTCAATCCAGGTCGATTTCGCAAATCCCCTCATACTAACCTTGACTCAACTTGAACAGCCCAACAAGGAGGTGAAGCCCCCGTCACCACCATCGTTCCCTTCAACAACCAGAAGGTCCTTCCCGCCTGCGCTGCCGCTTGCGGTCCCCTCTACGATGCCAACGGTGCCTGTGTTCCTCCTCAAGTAGCCGCTGATGCTGGCCCAACCGCCTACACGCAATGTTTCTGTCTCGACCAACGAGTCGCCGCTTTCTCGACCGCCACTACGGGTGTCTGCGATGACGCATGTACCGCGGATCCCAAGGGCCTTTCATCCATCGCTGGCTGGTTTCGAAGCATGTGTAGCGTCTCGACTGCTCAAAATGGAGGAACAACCAAGAAAACTGGAACTGGCGGCTCTACGACTTTGACAGGTGACGATGCTTCATCAACATCTGGTAGCAAGCTATCTAACAATGGAGGTGGTGGTGATTGGTATGTTGGCGATTTACTTACCATACCTTAGATTGTTCTAACTGTATCAGGCTCTCAAACCATTGGCAATGGGTTATCATGATCGTTGTTCTCGTTGTCGGCATCGCAGCCATTTGGATCGGTGCCTGCATCTGGCGTCGCCGTTACCTACGCAAGAAGGATCGTCAGACTCACCTCGGCCAGAAGCACTCTGGATCTGCATCTCGACCATCTTGGGGTCCCGGAATGGAGGCCTCAGAGTCCGGAGGTCTTCCCTACGACGATGAATCGAACCGAAACTCGCACGGCCTCATGCTACCGGGCGCTGCCGCCGGTGCTCCCGTGGAAGAGAAGCCCAAGGAGAAGAAGCGATGGATCGTCCGCGACCGAACATGATGCCCCCTTCATGCTCCATCTTGTTAACGCCAGTTCCGATCTCATAACGACTCTCCTTACCATGTCGAGCTAAAAAGGCACCTCGACATTCTGTTCGCCTTACGATATAAACCGTGCATTTATTCATTTAAACGGCCTTACTCTATTCGATATCATCGAAAACATATGACTTTTAGTTGGTGAGGGGGGCTACATCAGCATTTGAAAGATGAGGAAACGAATGCATTCGGTAGTGACCACAGGAACATGCAGACACTTGATTAATCAAGCATGGTTGGAAGATGCCGTCTGCATTATCTTTTGTGGTCCAATATCCACGCGTTTGTTGGTAGCCAGTCGTGCTATGCCCCCCGTGGCGTTCTTGTTCATACTTCAGGTATATTCTGGCGTTGGGAGGAAGAGGAGGGTTGGCGTATCCTCCTGATTTGTTGTTTCTGTTTCCGTTTTTTGTGGTGGCTGTTACCACGGAGCGAGTCTCGCCTCCATTCCCAGCATGTGGGTGGAATGTGACGTTGGCTCTGCCACGAGGCGAGGAGGGGAAAAACGAAGCTGTTTATTTGTTTTATTTTAGACCAGAACAGAAATAGTCTCTGGTTAGTCATTTGGTCATTTTTTATTACCTACAGCTTCCTCGGCATGGGAAGAGGTTTGGAGTCTATCCTTGATACAGCATTTACAATTTCATCACCCGCGAAATCTTCAACTCGCAATTACCAGTTCTTCTTAGTGCCATTTATTGTGGTTCATAAAGTTTGTGCAATGTTGCTCTATCCATAACTAACAGTAACATCTTCCGAGCAACGTCTCAATGTCAACAAATTAGAGAATCTAATCTGCACACTTTCATTTTAGCTTTTGCTCAACAAAGTCAATGCTACAACGCT